CTAGACCCTAACCCCAAAACTCCTGGTCATGCCCCAGCTAACACCAAAAAACTCCTGGTCAGGCCCCACCTCTATGTAGGCGTCTGCCGAGAACCTTCGATTCGACTTTGGTGTGGGGGCCGTTTGGCTTTACTATTTTCCGTTACGGTTTTACGCCTAAGCCCTAAGCGCCAACCCTTTAAACCCCGGCATGTGACTTCCCGTGTTCAGGCTTTGATCGTGCGACAACTCGCCTGAAAACCCCAAACACGAACACCCTGAACTTTGATATCAACCCTACTTTTCGGATCGGGGCACTTAGCAAGGAAGGTTATAGTTACCGTACTTGTACCTCTACCCACTAAGCCCCCTGATCCTTGAAGTGACCAGGCCCGCTGTGCTTAGGGGTTGTGACTTTTCTGGGTGGGTAGGTGTCTAAGTAACTATGCATGTATGTGATGTATGTATGTATGTATGTATGTATGTATGTATGTACGTACGTATGTATGTATGTATGTATGTGTCTAAGTAACTTTGTATGTATGTATGCATTAATGTATGTATGTATGCATGTATGTATGTGTGTGCATTTCATCATAACTGTTCGACTATTGTTCATCTTTTATCCTTTGTGTTATGAAATCTTCCTGTTGCTTCCAGCTGCTTTTTGCGTGAGTTCCAGCATCTTTTTTGAATTCTGAAAAAAGATCCTGCCTTGTTTGGTTTCTGGTCTTTTATCTTGTTTTTATTCGCTTTGTTAGTTTACATTGTCAAACTTTACATGGAAATACCATAAGAAAATTCAATATTGTGAACTTTTCCATACAAACATTTTCATTCTGAGTGAGCAAGTGCTCCATTGTATACCTGGAAGATTCAGCCAAACTCAACAGTAACTGCAATTTACAGGTCGGTAGGCCTGTGGGCATGCGACCCCAGCCCATGGAGGTAGGCCTATACGTAGGCTACCCATAGGCCTACGGTAGGCCTACCCATAGGTTGGACGTAGCCTTATCTTCGGGTTTCTGTATGCATTATCAGTATTTTTGTTGTTAGCATTGTTATTATCATGATTATTCCTATTAGGGCTATGATTATCACAATTATGACGATTACTATTACGATTATTATCAGTACTATTGTTATTACTATTCCTATTGTTCTGATTATTACTCCTATTCGTGCACAGTAAACGTACATTTGGTTAGCTTACACTGAGACGTTGAGGCACATGTGAAAGTGGTGCTCGTAGAGGTGTACGAAGCAGCTGCAGAACAGCTTCATGAACGCCCCGACCGGATTATTGCCAATCCGCGCAGCTGCGGTGATCGTTCCGAGCAGGAATCGGAAAGGGCGAAGGAATCCGATTACGATGGCCGCCTTCGAAACTGATCTTGGAACTCTTGAGCTCTAAAAGGCCCATGTAATGAGATCTTCATAGAACCAGCGCAGAAGGACAACCATTCTGCAAGAAGTGGCTAAGCTCTAGCTCCCAAACCCTAAACACTACAACCACTAAAAGTCAGCCCACTGGACCCAATCTAGCCTTGATCATGCTGCCCAGGTGATAGCACAGCAGTGCCTTGAGGAGATGCCGCAGTGTCGTCGTGTAGGTTCTGGCAGCCACCCGCTCCTTGTCATCGAAGTACCTATAAGGTTTTTTGGGGGGCTCTTAGATAGAACCATAAAGAAACAACAATTGTGCATGTTCCAATATTTGTGTATTGCACAGACAACAACTAACCAGCTGGTCCATGTGTAGTACTGATCAATAATCTTCTGTTCTTAAGTACAAAAAAAACCATACAAAATCGGGTTTGGGGGTACCTAATCGCAGAAAAGCAGAACTTGTAGACAAAACTGAAAGTCACACTCAATCCTCAACCCTCAACCCTCAATCCTCAACCCTCAACCCTCAACCCTCAACCCTAAACCCTATACCAAAAACTGCAAAAGTCATTCCGATGAGGAAAGCCATGGGTGCCAGGTGCAGGTGAGATAGGAGACGGCAAACTCCCAGGATGACGTAATCCTTGGCAGCCCAGTTTAGGGTTTAGGGTTCTTATGTTTAGGGTTTAGGGTTTAGGGTTTAGGGTTTAGGGTTTAGGGTTCTTATGAGCCCTTTAAGTGCCCTAATAGGGTCTTGAACCAAAAACCCTAAACCCCAAAAACCCAAACAGGGGGGACCCTAAACCCTAAACCCTATAAGCCCTAAACCCCAAACTCCTAAACCCTAAACCCTAAACCCTAAACCCTAAACCCTAAACTACCAAGAGTCGTGGCTTCCACCCACACGAGCATAAAGGTCCAGCAGAGGAAGAATAAGAGGCTGTAGGGGCCTGAGGATGGCAATTGTATGGGTTTAGGGTTTAGGGTTTAGGGTTTAGGGTTTAGGGTTTAGGGTTTAGGGTTTAGGGTTTAGGGTTTAGGGTTTAGGGTTTAGGGTTTAGCGTTTAGGGTTTAGGGTTTAGGTTTCAGGGTTTAGGGTATAACCTTCAGGGTTTAGGGTTTAGGGCTTGGGGTTGAAAGGTTTTACGGCTTAGGGTGTAGGGTGTTAAGGTTTAAGGTTCAAAGGGTTTACGGCTTAGGGTTTGGGGTTTGGGGTTTTGAGGTTTAGGGAAGTTTTCCTGAATATGATCCTAATAAACCCCATCAGGGGAAATGTAGACCCTAAACCCTAAACTCTAAACCCTAAACCCTTAAACCGACCTAGGGGCAGTTCTCCTCACCACAGTCGAAGCTTACCTTGCCCTCTCGGTGGTTGTAGAATATGCGCGCTGGAGAGACCAGGAGGCAGAAAACCATGAAGCCTATTGCGCACGCTCTTGTCGTAAGCACCACCAGTGGCCCCAGCTGAAGAAGAGGCGTCTCCAGCACACACTCGCAGGATCGCTCGATGCAAACAGCTGCCAACTTCAACGTCGTCACCTGGCCCCCCTGACCCCTAAACCCTAAACCCTAAACCCTAAAACCTGGGGACTGCAGTCTCCAGCTTCATTTCAGTCTCAGAAGAGCTTTCTTCTAGGATTTCGATTTAGGGTTGAGGCTTTCGGGCTTCCCTAATCCCTAAACCCTAAACCCTAAACGCAAAACCCAAAACCCAAAACCCAAAACCCAAAACCCAAAACCCTAAACCCTAAACCCTAAACCCTAAACCCCCGCATGCGCGCTGGCGAGGCAGCCGAGGACGACGCCCACCAACACCAGCACCAAGCAGAAGGTGCCCGCATCCTCGGTTCGTGGTACTCCATAAGCCAACTATAGCTGTCCCTAAGGGTCCATGTACCTATATAGAGAATACTTGGGCCTTAAAGTACCTCCTATTTAGGGTATTTAGGGCCCAAGTACATAATAATGAGGAACATGGACCCTTAGGGTGTACTTATAACCCAGTTATAAGCATAGTAGGGCACTTAAAGGCCTTATAAGTACGGTGATAATTTGGGTTATAAGTACCATGAACCTCCAAGCATCCTTGCCATTTGTGACGTAGAGGATCACAGCCCAAACCCACGGGACCAGAACCACGAACACCACGCCCGCCATCAAGAGCACCTCGGTGTGGTCCTTGAGGAGGAACAAGATTCGAAAGGAGATGCCCAGACTCACCTTACTGGCCCAAAACCCAAGGAAATAAAAGTTGAAACTTTCAGTATAAACTACCTTATAAGAAGCCCAAAAGATTCAAAGTTGGGTTTTGAGCCAGTAAGTCACCAGTGCGGCAATCAGAAGAGGCACCCACAAACTCTTCACAGCCACAGCGAGACGGGCCTCCCCTGCAGCCCGGGCGTGGTGGACGAAGAGATGGTTCGCCAACTCGACAGACTGAGGCACGCAAAGGTTGCTGAGGTACAAGAGGCTTTTTTGCGTGGGATAGTCCTGTGCCTCCACATCCACACCCATCTCGTGGTTGATGCATCGGAGCTTTGAGTGGTCGGTTGAGGGGCAGGATTCCCTGCACACGGTAAAGGCTGTCTTGTTCTCGCCGACGTCGACGGCGCAGACGTACGCAAAAGGCGCATCGCTACCGACAGTTCCGCAGACCTGGCCGTCGTAGTCCGCAAGCTTTAGCAGAGCCGAATAGCTTGGCTTCGAGAAGCCAACTGCCAACAGCGCCAGCAAAAGAATGGCAAAGGCAACTAGCCAGGAGACATCCGTGCAACGCCTCTTCACATCCGCCGGGTGTTTCAGAGAGCCAACCTCAAAATCGTCCCAGGTCTGTGTGCGAGCAGGGGCACTAAGATGCCGCTGCAGATGCTGCAGATGCTGGATGTCACCAGATTCACTAGTGTCCGAGCTGCTACTGGAGCCATCCTCGGAATCGCTGTCGGTGCTACCGAAGATGTAGCCCAGCCAGCCATCTCTGGTGGGGCGAGCAGGTTCGCTACGATGCCGCCGCAAGGGATGGTTGGTGCCGCCGTCGTCTTTCGACCTCCGGCTGCCAATGCTGTCCCCATTCCTCAGATTCTCTTCCTTCGTCACGCCTCGGGAGCTGTCTTGCGGCTCCTCTTCGTAGGCCACACCGACCTTCAAGGCCAAATGAACCCTGAAAGGGTTTCTGGCCCATATTACCTTAATATGGGCTATAATAGAACTTTAATCCCCTAAACATGAAGAATAATTCCAAAGGGTTATAATAGGTTCGGATGGTATGACCCCAAATTTTGGGCTTCATTTGGTCCCCAAGGGACGAAATACCTCCAGTCCAGCCAGCTCCCCCCGCCCTCAGCTGCGGCCATGGCCGTGTTGTGCCCACAATTCGGGTTTAGGGGTTTGGGGTTTGGGGTTTAGGGGTTTGGGGTTTGGGGTTTAGGGTTATAGGGTTTAGGGTTTAGGGTTATAGGGTTTAGGGTTTAGGGTTGTAGGGTTTAGGGTTATAGGGTTATAGGGTATAGGGTTATAGAGTTATAGGGGTATAGGGTTATAGGGTTATAGGGTTATAGGGTTATAGGGTTTAGGGTTTAGGGTTGAGAAGCTTCTGCAACACGGGGTCAATGAGTCAAGCTGCCTGAGTGGCAAAACGGACCTCTCTGTCGCTTGAAAAAAGCATCTGCATCCTAGACCCTTACTAAACCCCAAAACCTAAACCTCATATGAGTACTTCCTCCTCAGCCCCATGAAAACCGAAAGCCTTCATGCCATCAATCACAAACCAACCCTAAACCCTAAACCCTAAACCCTAAACCCTAAACCCTAAACCCTAAACCCTAAACCCTAAACCCTAAACCCTAAACCCTACCCTAAACCCTGAACCCTGAACCCTGAACCCTGAACCCTAAACCAAAACCCTAAACCAAAACCCTAAACACCCTAAACGCAAAAACTCTGAACCCTAGAGGTACGGTATGTTCTTATGAGCCGCTTCATGCTGGAGAAGGGTGCGAAAGTCATGGCTTCTGTAGAGTTTCGGGTTTAGGGCATTTACGGCATCCCGAATCCCTAAACCCTAAACCTCAAAGCCCTGAGTGAAGCCCTCAAGTGCCCAACAGCCTTTGCTGAATTCGGGCTGAGGAACCTGGAAAAAGCAAGCTACCAGCAGAGGGTTTAGGGTTTAGGGCTAGGGTTTAGGGTGTATGGTTTAAGGTTTAGGGTTTCGGGTTTGGGGCTTGGGGCTGAGGATTTAGGGGGTAAGGGTTCAGGGGTTGGGGTTCGTCGTCTCTACGATCTAAGCTATTTCTGGAATCTGAAGTGGCCAACTTCCTTACTTAAACCCTAAACCCTAAACCCTAAACCCTAAACCCTAAACCCTAAACCCTGAACCCTGAACCCTGAACCCTGAACCCTGAACCCTGAACCGAGATTCCCAACATCTTAGTAGAAACAATGGCTTCCAGGTTTTAAGTTTGAGGGCGCAACGGCTTTAGGCCATAGGAGGTTTTGGGCTTATATAGACTGGACGTGGGAGTAACCTAGGAATAACAAGGGTACCCTTTTTGGTTTCAAGGGGATTGTAAGGGAATCCCAACCCTACAAAAAAAAGGTAAACAAAAAGGCCTACTTCCAGTCCTAGTAGAGTAACCTGCAGAACCAGCCAGCAGAAGCGGCAACACACCCCAATTCTAAGGAATATGTCACATGTTGAACACTAAACCTAAACCCTAAACCCTAAACCCTAAACCCTAAACCCTAAACCTTAAACCCTAAACCCTAAACCCTAAACCCTAAGCTGGTCAGCCTTCAGGGTCTTCTTGTAGCGCGAGAAGTGGGTGCTAATCTGAGCATGTGCGGAGCGGCTTCGGGGTCTCAGGGTTTAGGGTTTAGGGTTTAGGGTTAGGGGTTTAGGGTTTAGGGTTTAGGGTTTAGGGTTTAGGGTTTAGGGTTTAGGGTTTAGGGTTTAGGGTTTTAGGGTTTGGGGGTTGGGGTTTGGGGTTTGGGGTTTGGGGTCTGGGGTTTAGGGTTTAGGGTTTAGGGTTTCAGGCGGCTTAGGGTTCAGGCGGCTTAGGGTTTAGGGTTTCGGGTTTTTAGGGCTTGGGTTTGTGATTTCGCGATTTAGGATGTAGCGTTGGGCTCATCTATGTATGTGTGTATATATATATATATATATAAATCTATTCTTGATTTTCGTAGTGTACTTATTATTGTCTTTTGTGCTTTTTCTGGGCGGGGGCGGGGGGGGGGGGGGGGGGTTTGGTTCTTGCAAGGGGCCACTTTTTTCAAGGGTGCCGTAGTACATAGTAGGACTCCAAAAAGACCTTAAACCCTAAACACTGAACGCAAAACCCTAAAACCTAAACCCCTAGATCACACCCAAAACCCTAAACCCTATAAACCCTAAAGCTAAGGCCCAGAGACCGTACTGCAGCTCGGGATTCTTGCGGAATGAGGGCGGGAAGCAAGGCCAGAGACGTCTGTATCAAAAACTAGACCCAGGAGTAACCTAGGAACAAAAAGCTAAACCCTAAACCCTAAACCCTAAACCCTAAACCCTAAACCCTAAACCCTAAACCCTAAACCCTAAACCCTAAACCCTAAACCCTAAACCCTAAACCCTTCGGGGTTTAGGACTTAGGACTTAGGGCTCCTAGGAATAAAGAACCCAGGAAGAAAGAGGGTACCCTTTTGGTTTTAAGGGGATGATAAGGGAACCCCAACCCTAAAAAAAGGAAAACAAAGGCAACAAGGGTCTACTCACTCGCCACAAGTGCACACATCTGCAGTGTTTAGGGTTTAGGGTTTAGGGTTTAGGGTTTAGGGTTTAGGGTTTAGGGTTTAGGGTTTAGGGTTTAGGGTTTAGGGTTTAGGGTTAGGGTTTAGGGTTTAACCGACACAAAAACAGCAAGCACTACCAATCTACACCCAACCTAGCCATAAAAAGGGTGCCCTTTCTTGGTTCAAAGGGGCTTGTAAGGGTGCCAAATGCTAAGCTCAAATGTATAAATGGGCTGGGAAATACAATCTTCTGCCGACTCGGGGGTCCCGGTGCAAGACTACTTTCCACTTATATAATTGGGGTTTAGGTCTTAGGGTCTGGGGTTTAGGGTTTGGGGTGTGGGGTTTAGGGTTTAGGGTTTAGGGTTTAGGGTCCAGGGTTTAGGGGTGCAGCTAAGGCAGGCTGCGTGGATCAGGCGCATGTTCGTCAAGATGATCACCTCGGCCGAAAGAGAGCGTCAGAGCCCTGAAGCCCCCTGGACTTTTGAGGAGGGTTTAGGGTTTAGGGTTTAGGGTTTAGGGTTTAGGGTTTAGGGCTAGGATTCTAGGGTTCTACCTTGAACCCTTAGTTAAGGCTGTACCCTTGGGTTTGGGGGGAAGGGGGGGGGGGGGGGGGGTCCGTTTTAAGGATGTGAGGGTTTAGGGTTTAGGGTTTGAGGTTTAGGGTTTAGGGTTTTAGGGTTTAGGGTTTGTGAGGGTCAGATTCGGATTACATTACGGGGAACCTTGAGGGATAAAACCTTCTGAATCCCTTGACTAAACTCTTCAAACCCCAAACCCGCAACTCTGAACTCTACGAACGCCATGAACTTTAAACCCTAAACCCTAAACCCTAAACCCTAAACCCTAAACCCTAAACCCTAAACCCTAAACCCTAAACCCTAAACCCTAAACCCTAAACCCTAAACCTTAACTTCTAAAACTCTCCACCCGCGACCTTGCAGCCTGAGCTCTTGAAACTCTAAATGCCAAGCCCGAAAAAACTGCACCCTCATTACTTGAAACACATCCCGCGTTTAGGGTTTAGGGTTTAGGGTTTAGGGTTTAGGGTTTAGGATTTAGGATTTAGGATTTAGGGTACTCCCAACCCCAACCCCCCCTCCTCCGACGCGCAAAACACTCCAGAAACAAGCTCAGAGTACTTGGAGGTTCATGCTACTTAATAACCCAAATATAATTATATTGATAACCTAATCATAACCATATTGGGGGGCCTGTAAATGGGTTATGAGTACAATTAGAATTGGGTGATAAGTACCATGAACCTCCAAGCAAAGGGTTTAGGGATTTAGGGCGAGGGTTGAGGGCTTAGGGTCCACCCGCGCGTGTACGTGAACCCTGAAACAGCTGGTTCCAGCAGCGCTACTGCTCCCTTAACTACCTTGGGGACCAAATGAGACCTAAAAGGGTTTAGGGTTTGGGGTTTAGGGTTCAGAGTGCATATTTCTTAATAGGGGTCATGATCGTATGGAGTACATGACCCCACTTTTAGGGTTCCTTTGGTCCCAAGGTAGGTTCAGGGTTGAGGGTTTGGTACCCCTCAAATTGAAAACGGGGGGTCTTGATATGGTGAGTTCTCAAAGTTGTGGTCCTTCTGGGGTATCCGAAATTTCGGGGCCGCCCTAGAAATCCTAAACCCTAAGCCCTCAGAGAATCCCCCATATGACTTTATGGAACATGCCTTCAGTCTCTGCTGGACTCCAGTCTGTATGCCTATGTTGGGTTTTAGACTTTAGGCTTTAGGGTCTAGGGCGTTTAGAGCTCTGGGTTTAGAGATGGTACAGTACTTGAAAGTTCTTCGGTCATGTTAACAAAAATAAACAAGATTCTGACCACAGCTGGAGATACCGCACTTATGTCCCTAAACCCTGGACACCCTAAAACAGGAAAAGGTGAGCGGCGCCGTCCCGTCGCTGGCGGCGCCAGTGAAGATCTGCGCAGGGCGGGTGAATAGGGGTGGCTCAGGGTCGTTAAGGCCTCGACACCCTGTGAAGTCCCATGAAAGCCTATGGAATCTTATCAACCCTATGAAGCCCTGTGAAGCCCTGCACAGCCCGTTGAAACCTTATGAGGGTTTAGGGTTTAGGGTTTAGGGTTATGAGATCTCTGAGACTTACTAACTGGCTAGAACTGGGCTTCTGGCTGGAGTTCTAAGCCGCTCAACTGGCTTTCCTGGCTTACCCCGAGTACTTGTAAGCTGCCAGAGCCCACAACTACATCTAGATAGCAAGCCCCTTAACTTGCAACTTTCAGGCAGTTCAACCCCGGCTGCAGCCAAACACTACCCGCTAAACCCTAAACCCTACACCCTAATTTCCACCCCGGCCTTCTTAGGCCGCCCCACCCTTTTCTGGGGTGCCTGGACCCAGAACTTTTCGACGGACAATGGGTGGTGCCATTGGAGAGTGGCCGAGTGCATCGATAAACATGAGCCGTTCAGGGGTTGAGGGGTTGAAAAGTTTAGGGTTTAGGGTTGAGGGTCCGTCTTTTCCCTTTCCTCCGTCCCCTCACGCCCCCCTAGTCGCCCTAGCCCTCCCTCGCCTGACCCCCCTCCCTTGCTGGCCCCGCTGCCCCCCCTCCCCTGACCCGC